ACCTGAAGGGCCTGGGTTATCCACACAACTCCCATCAAAGTTTAACTTCTTCCAACCATCTGTTGGAGGGGACCAAGTCTCAACAAACTGTCGTCTCATAGATGATGAAGCAGCAATAAGTCCCCAAACCCTGAAGAAATCTTCGGCCTTAAAGGCTGAAAACAGCTTCAAACTTTTTACCCAATGGGCCACCACTGTTGCCAACTTCCCTTTACTGTTCAAGGTGGAAGTAGATTAACTAGCAACTGTCACACTCCTAGTATTTTGCAACAAGTCACAACACATGAGAAGATAGAGAAAGGGGACGTAGGTAATGGTTATTGGAGCTTGGTTGTCGCCTGTCTGAATAACGAGTAGTTAAGAATGAAGGTATTCATGGGCAGATTGAGTTGACGATTTAAAAATGGCATGCCATTGGAGAAGTGAGTTGACGATTGAGAAGAAGAATTTTGTCTTAGAAGAAGGTAAAAGTCGAAATCAATCGATTTTAAAGCTCAGGGAAGAAGGGAGAGCTACTATCTTTCTATTAGGGGAAGCCATTCAGTGGCTGAAAGGTTTCACCGGTGGAGCTATTCTCACTATTAAGATCGAGGGGTGGAAAAGCTATTTGGATCTACCAAATAGAAGGTACCAGGTGACTCTAAAATGCAACTGAAAAGGGTGGTTTCTGGAGGTCATAGGATTCTTTGGAAGAAATAGACATCAGCGCATCTGTATCCCAGAAGGAAGAAGAGGTTGGGGTTGGAGATTGGTGTCACAGAAGCTTCAAAATTTTTTGGTCCGGAAGGCAGGTGCTTCGGCCATTCATAGATTCCCGGTCTTCAATGTAGGCGAACCTTCTGAGCTCTTATTCGAGAGTTCTTGGTGTGAAGGAGAGTCTGAGTGCAATGAGCTTGAGAAATTCCTGCAACACTTCTAGGTGGCTAATAAGCGAGAGGAAATGCAACAACAATTATCGGTAGTCAGCCTAGGAAAGTTTCATAGGTTAGTACTGGAAAAAGATAGCAGAGGATGGGAAAGAAGATTGATTCTAAAGGCTGAGAAGAAGGTTCCTGATTGGAAGCTAGTCGTGGAGGCTATTATGGAGAAGCTATGTGCACCCTCTGGAGTATCGGTCTTTCCTTTTGATGACAGAAGAGCTATTTTGGATGCAGGGTTGATAACAATTAATTTCAGGTTGGTGGAGACTGTTTTTGGGGTGGTGGAATTAGAAAACTCGATAACAATCCATTTTCTTCTTCTTCTTCTTGTTAGGAGGCTGTGTTCCCTTGAATAACACCTGTGTTAGGCAGAATCCTAACAAAATCAATTTTCAATGGGTGAAAAGGATTGCTAATTCCTTTGCTGATATGTTAGCAAAGTAGGGGGTGGGAAGGTATAATTTATTTTAGGCTGTATTGTAATTGTATTGTCTGTACTTAGGAGAGCTAAGAGAGTTTATCTCTCCCTTTTCCCCTTTGTACACTTTATTAATTTAATAAATCAGCTTCTGTTATTCATGAAAAAACAAAAGACTTCTGAAATCTGAACAGTTTGACGGTTTTTCTGATATTTGAAGCGTTTTTCTGCATTGGTGAACCTTTTATAATCATTTGGATCCTTGCATCTCTCATTGATCCTTTCTGACTCCTAGACTGCATTAATCTCAGTAGTCTGGTCTGCAACCACTTCTCTGCATTTTTTGTCAATATCCTTACAACTCCAACTGACCACCTTCCATCTTGTGCATCTTCAGCCCATAACTTAAGACCATCCTCTTCTAAATTCACTTTTTCTTTTTCCTGATCCTTCTCCAATTCTTTAAATGCCTTCCTAGCAAACTCTTCATCCCCAAGAAAAGCAATCCCAACATTTTAGTCACCTTCACTTCTTTGAGCTCTATGGGTTCTTTGGGCTTGGTGGGTCTTCCAGGCTTCTTTTTATTCTTCTTCTAGACTTGCATTATGTTGCTTCTGTATACATGCTCATGTTAACCATCATTGTCTTATTGGTTGTTTTACTTGCAGGATTAAGTACTTCAATGGTTGTCTGTTTCATACAGTTCAGAAGGATTTTACTGCACAAACTGGTGATCCGACAGGAAAGGGCACAGGTGGTGATTCCATATACAAGTAAGAAATTTCACATATGATGTTTCAATGGTAGAATTACATTTTTGATTGGATTGTTGTTATTATTCTTAAGTGGAAAACATGCAAACATATACATATAAAATTGGAGGCACCATTGGCCCGTTGCTTGGTGCAATAGTAAAATGTAAAATCTTGGACTTACAAGCATTAAAATGTGGATTAGGGCCTGAGAGTGGTCATTATGTGCAAAGAATGCTGGAGGTTGATATTGGTAATGACCCTTTTTTATGGAGAAATAGATTATAATATTTCATTATTACATAGCTGAAATTCTTGCATTCATAAGAGCCTGAGGTTGCCTACTAAAGGCCATAACCCAATGTTGGTCCTAGCTATCTGGGGTCTTGGAAAGGGTACACTGGGTATGGTCCTAACCTTTGACTTTAACCTTTGTTCTCATGCTTGCCAACCTGAAATTTTACCAATACACCAAGTAATGACCCCTTCGACATTGCCTACTAATGTTGGTATACAAAACCTGTCAAAAACTTGAAATGCAACAGATTTCTGATCAGGCTCACTTATGAGATTACATAAACATATTTATCCTGCATCATTTTTCTTTCAGGTTTCTTTATGGTGATCAAGCTCGCTTCTTTGGTGATGAGATCCATCAAGATTTAAAGCACTCTAAAACTGGGACTGTTGCTATGGCTAGTGCTGGAGAGAATCTTAATGCTTCCCAGGTATAATATTATCTTTCCTATCAAAAATAAAATATCTTTCCTCTCAAGATAGAATTGTGATAATTCCATACATGGAACATAGAGTTTCATCTTACCAATTAAATAATATATATATATATATATATATTATTTAATATAGCATTAAATTGTTTAATGTGATGGTTTTGGAAAAGGATGAGGTGGGAAATGAAGTTATTGCAGGTTCCCAAGAGAAGGAAAAGGAAGACTGTCGTTTGGATGAGGGAGAAGAAGGCTGTAGAGAGATACCCAAAGTAAAAGGAGCGGAACAAAAAGAAGCCAAAAGGAAGTTTGCCAAAGGAAAGGTCTATCTTAGAAAGGGGGTAGAAGATGATAAAAAAAAGAAAGAGAAGAATGATTGAGGTGGAAAGGCTAGCCTGTGGTGTGTCCTATGAGAAGATTGTAAATAGGAAAAGGGAGAAGAAAAGAGGAGAATAGGATTTGGGATTGAATTAGGGTCGGGGAAAAAAGAGTGAAATGAAAGTGCTTTGCCGGAATGTAAGAGGTTTAGGAAGTGCAAAGAAAAGGAGAATCATCAGGAATGTGATAAGAAAGGAGAGACCGGTTATAGTCATGTTACAGGAGACAAAGCTTTCGGACTTGGACAGAAGGTGGATAAGAAGTATCTGGAGTTGTAGGGGTCTAAGTTGGTCTTTTGCCCTGTCGTGGTGTGCCTTGTGTGGAATCCTTACAATGTGGAAGAATGAGGAGGTTGACTGTCAGGAGGAACTAACAGGTTAGTACTCAGTATCAATAAAAGCCAAGAGGATGAGTGATGGAAGGGAGTGGGTATTGACTAATGTGTATGGGCCGAATTCATATAGAGAGAGGAACTCATTCTGTGAAGAGCTAGCTGTAGTCAGAGGCATATGGGAGGGTCTGTGGTGTTTGGGTGGGAATTTCAATGTAATAAGATATACAAATGAGACAATCAACCGCAACCAACCCTTAACATCTAGCATGAAACACTTCAATTCCCTGATTGAGTCCCTAGAAATAAAAGAGCCTACCTTGTTACAAGCCACTTTCACTTGGTCAAATCTCCAAGAAAATCAAGTGTGCTCAAAACTGGATAGATTCCTGTTCTCCATTGATTGGGAAGAGCTGTGGGGCACTTTGACACTAAAAGCCCTACCTAGAGTGACTTCTGATCATTGCCCTTTAAGCCTTTACCAAGAAAATCTTATTGGTGGCCCCACACCTTTTAGATTTGAATACATGTGGCTAGAAGTTCCAAACTTTTTGCAAAGGGTAAAAGAATGGTGGTCAGAAGATGGGATTAGGGCTAGAAAYAAAGTGGTGAGATTCTCTAAGAAACTGAAAAGATTGAAGGAAAAGGTCAAGGAGTGGAACAAAGTGGAATTTGGAAAACTTGTGGTCATAAATGAGGAATTGGCCAGGAAAATAGAGGAACTGGACCAAAAGGAGGCCAAGAAAGAGTGTGGGGTGGAGGATAGAATAGAAAGATGGAACTTAAAAGTGCAATTGGAAGAGATTCTAAGAAAAGAAGAGATTTCTTCGAGGCAAAAATCTAGATGCAAATGGCTTTTGGAAGGGGATGGAAATACCAGTTTTTTCCACTCTCTAGCAAACGGGAGAAGACGGAAAAACCAAATTTCCAGTGTAGAGGTGGATGGAAGAGTGATCACTGCAAAAGAGGAAATTGAAAGATGCTTTGTGGATCACTTTAAGTCAATCCTAGCATCCTTTGATGAAAATGTGGCAGAATTGGGAGATTTACAGTGGGACAGAGTGCCAGAATCCGAAGTTGACCTCCTAGAAAGAGCCTTCACTATTGAGGAGATACATGAAGCAATATTCTCGATGGATAGATCTAAAGCACCGGGGCTGGATGGATTTTCAATGGCTTTCTATTAGGATTGTTAGGAAATTTTGAATGATGAATTAATGGATGTATTTGTAGAGTTCTGTCAAGAAGGAAAATTATTGCTTGGAGCAAATGCAACTTTTGTTGCTTTAGTGCCAAAAAAGGAGTCAAAACCCCTAAGGACTACAGACCGATAAGTCTTGTGGGTAGCTTGTATAAAATCATTGCTAAAGTCCTGGCTGGTAGGTTGAAGACTGTATTGCCCTATATTATCTCTTAGAACCAAGGAGCTTTTGTAGAGGGGAGACAAATTGTGGATCAAATTTTAGTGGCAAATGAGTGTGTGGCAGCTAAGAGAAAACAAGGTGACAAAGGTTTGATTTGTAAATTGGACCTTGAAAAAGCTTATGATATGGTGGATTGGTCCTTCATGTTGAATTTAATGGAAAAGATGGGGCTAGGTGAAAGATGGAGGATGTGCATTAAAGAATGTATTAGCTTAGCACATTTTTCTATTCTGATGAATGGGGTAGAAAAGGATTTCTTCTAGGCTAAAAGAGGACTAAGACAGGGTGACCCCTTATCTCCATTCTTATTCACCTTTGTGGCTGAGGTTTTTAGTAGACAAATCACCAAAGCTAATCAAGAAAACCAGTTTAAAGGTTGGAGGATGGGTAGATCAGAAGTGATGGTGTCTCATTTGCAATTTGTTGATGACATAATGAAAGCTGTGATGAAGGCAGTTTAAGGAATCTGAAAAGATTGGTGGATGAATTTCAGCAGGCCTCCAAATTGAAAGTCAATTGGGGAAAAAGCTGTGTAGTCGGAATCAACATTGAAAGGAGGGATATCCAAGCCATGGCAAATCTGCTAGGTTGTGAAGTGAAAAATTGGCCTCTGGAATACTTAGGAATGCCCTTGGGTGGGAATCCGAAAGCTGAAAGTTTCTGGAAA